ATATATATATCTTAACCAATAAGAAAAAATATAGTAAGGAAACCACAACCGACTCCGGGATGGCCACTGTTGCGGTGGTGGCATTTACATGAGAAGGTCAAGATAAATTATTTTTCGGAAACGATTACGCGTGGGGATGCACGAATGGAAAGAAGTCATCTCCCGATCAGGCAGCGTTGGCATTTATCACTGTTCGATTGAATGCGTGCGCACAAATGCTGTATGGGGGGCAACATCATCATTTAATCGTGCCTAAGCCTTGTGTTGCACCGTTCCTTGAGCTCTGCTTCAACACTCTGCGACGATAATCGCTGTTGTTATTGTTGTCCGTTGTTGTTGTTCTAGTCCGCTGCTATTGTTATTGTCGTCATCTGCTATTATCCTTGTTGTTGTTCGCAATAATAGTTGCACTGCTTGTTTGCCTGTTCCAACAGCGCATCGTACCACCCTCGCAATAATGCCACGGCACGTTGATGTGGTTACTATTTCTGCCCGCTGCTACTCTATCTATAAAGGAGCAAAGACTTTTGCAATCCGTTGAATCAGTGGACAGATAGACGGAAGAACCAACGAATAACTAATGAAGCCAAGAACGACAACTTCAAAGATTATCGACATAGACTTGCAAGGACAATAAGCAAGTGAGCGAAGGTTTTTTGCTTTCTCTCAGCCCATTTTCTACCCCCACACCACTCTTAAGCTGGACCTATCTCTGTGTCTAATAGATATGATTGAGATAGCGAGTGACGGAGATGGGGTTGGCCGAGTGACGTTTTTTGGAGAAATTTGGCCTTTGGGATTAACCGGCTTTGATTTTGGCTGGCCAGGCTCGTGGAGAGTGGTGCCTCCGGCGAGGCCCTTGATTATGTCGGGTTGGCGTGGTTTTTTACACGTTGATACGTTCGTGCATAAGGGTATGCACTTGTCGAGAAATATAAGATAATTTTGTTTGTCGTGTGGCGACTGTGTACTTATGCGACTGTATCGGTGTTTCTCTGAATGCGTTGGAAGGAGAATCAGTTTTCCGCGTTGTAATTACTCTTCCTATTTTAATTTTATTATTTTTTAGGCCAGTTATTTTATTATATTAATTTTATTATTTAGGCTAAACGGTACACGAACTATCTATCATCCTCTGAGCTCCTGTAAAGCATTACAGTTTAATTACCTAAGTAGAAGAAAGCTACCTTCAAATATCTGTCCCTATATGCCTTTCTGGCAATACAGTCTGCCATAGAGACAGCTAGCAGCTACGCTAGTATCGTTTTTACTGTGTTTGTTAGAAATTAAACTTTGGTTGTAGTAGCGAATCATTTCTCAGTCTATTAGTTTAGAAAGGCTTATAAAAATGAAATAAATTTTGGTAATGCTGCCTTTAGTATGTCAGACAGAACCCGCAGTAGTCAATTTTTGTGCAAAAAAAAAGCACCATTTTATCGCTATTTCCTCTTTTGAAAATTTTCCGCTAATTTTCTGAGAACGTGTTCCCAGAATCCGAATGTTAGAGAGCTCTGTGTGTGTCGAACAGCTATCAAAATTTAGCACCATTAGAACGTTTGAATTTCGAGCCTCTTGGCCCTATCAAAACACAATGTTTACACAATCACCATACATACAAAGATATACACACGTACGTCACTATCGCATTCTGTAGAGAACCATCATGTCTCGAACGATCAGCCATTTTTGGAATTGATTGGATTACTTCACGGTGGAGAACTAGTACTTTAGGCTGTGGACACTGCGGTAATTTCTGTTACTACGTTGACTCATGACTATCCGCGACATTCTGTGGCTGCAAACGTCATAGCGACTTGCGGATGCTAGTAACGGTATGTTGTTCTGTGGTCGGAGCCACGTTAACCAGATGAAAGTGAGTTTACACGTTCGCATATGTCAGAATATGCGGTTTTTACTTTATATCGATAATGCTGATATCGGTGAAGATCGAGCCTGAGGTTGAACGAACCGCCATTTGTGGGTAAGTCGCAATAAAGGTTTGCTAGCCGTCAGTAAAGGAGCCTGTTCGCGAAATCAACTGTGACCATACTGTAATTGATCACGTCCGCAACAGGTACAGCTCTAGGCAGGTTGGGGCGTTTCGATAGCAACCACACCGCTTGACACAACGAATAACAGTTAGTTCTTCGTCGAGGAAAGCGCAGGTTCAGGCCGACGGGCATTATGTCAGGTAGCTCCGTTCCACCACAAACTATCATCGTTAAGTAGCCATTAACCACAAATAGCAGACACCTACGTACAAAAAATTTGATGGTGTAAACGAGACATGGAAGCTTAGTTACATACATGTTGGCGAAGTCGAGAGAGATGACTACGGTGAGGAAAGTGGAAATATTTATGGACATGTGTAAGAGTACAGCGTACTTCATTGGAGTATGATCATATGGCTTACTCACTCACTATACCCTTATGCACTCTGAAGGGTACGGGGACTATGGTGCAGGTAACAATTTTCTGTCTAGGGCCGACGAGATAGAAAGCTTACCTTTATATACTTTAAACACATATATATATATATATAATACATCTTAACTTGGGTAATTAGTTGTCAGATGGAGTACGATATCTGTTCAAACGGACAATGGAGGACGAGTGACGTTCTGCAAGGCCGCGGAAGTTCTCTTTCATAGGTTACATCTTGAAAGAAACCTATGTACAGTTTGTTTGGCCTAAGAAGACAACAAGCATTGTATATAAACAGTTCGGTGAAATTTTAGATATTGTAATCATCATAGACGAGGGACAAGGTTAGGAAGCTATATATTAGGACGTTATTATATCTTATCGCATATTTACCATTGTCGTTTATTTTGCTATTACAGGTGATCGACACAAATTTACTTCCGCTTGACATTATCGTCGGCCTTCGATTATATTTGGTTCTATGAATAGATAGACGCACCCGGAGTCATGGAACGCAGTTTATAGCAGTTCTTCTTTCGTAATTAATCATAATACATAAGTTGATGGTGCGAGTGGCATGTTCCTTGCGGTAACTAAAAACTCCTTTTTTTTCAGACGATTCAGCAGACGACTTTTCTATTTTCTACAGCCTACTATTTAAAAAATAATATGCGTATACATACCAATATCGTGGACCTCAGTTTGCCGGCTGCTTCCGAGATATGTAATTCGAAAACAAGTTACCGACACCGCAAACGGGCTTTTTTTTTAGCTACAAATAAGGCTTCAATGACAAGCTGCGTTCTTAACCGTCACAGTGCAGCATGTATCGCTCTTGCTGTTTGGCCTATTATCCCAACAGATTGAACCCGTTCAGACGCCGCAACCACTTACTCTACATTTCCTTAGGCAGTGCTACGTTTTTCTGTGGCTGGATTGCGCAATCGAGGTTGAAACAGGGGGCACTCTATCCGAAATAACCAGAGTGAACCTCTGCCACGTTAAACCGAAAATACGAATTTTCACCACGGCTTCAATATGCATATGTATAGCAGTGGATATAATATAAATGCGACGAACACAAGTCACGCAAACAGGGCGTACGTCGTACGGTAGAGTCGCCATTATCGTTCTGGCTATCCCAGCACTCGGCCTGGCATAATCGAGGTCATCATCGTGATGAAACTAAAAGGAAGCAAAAGGAAAAATAAAAATCTGTCTTTGACGCCACTCAAATTTGTAGAGCAGTAATAAACTCGCAAAAAAAAGTATGCAAACGAAGTGTTTTTGTCCCACTTCGCCCAAAGCCGTGAAAGACCACGCGATGCAACGCTGATGGTGAAAAGGTGGAAGAACGGTGCGGTCATTTGACCTTTTTGTTATATGAGTGATGATACGCATTACTAAAATGTGTATGCAATGTTTTCAATGTGGTCTTGTTTTTCCTTTTGGGTTATCCGTACTCAACTTGAATCTCTCTCTCTCTCTCTCCCTTTCTCTCTAATTATGACTTGATTATGCTTTGAGTATATTTCAACAATGTGTAATTTTCTCCCTTAGTTTCTATTGTCATAGAGCATGTCACAAATCGCATGTATGCTATTGACTTCAGTATCTGCAACCAGCACAAAATTGCCTTGCTAATAGATATACTGAATCCTTATTAACATTTGGCCTTAATTTTTTTGGTACATACCGATATTCGTCTATTTTATCGAGTACATGGATTTTTACGATGTCACAGTTTCAGTTTCGGCGGTAAAAAACGTTGTGCCTGTATCCTCGCCATTGCCAGTACCTACAGTCGCGTCCATCGTGCCCGTTCCAACCTCAGCGCCCACGCCTATTCCCCTTGTCGTGATACCTAATCGTGACCGCGACCTCGATGGCACGCCGCCGCCGGTGCCGGCCGCAGTACTACCTGGTAGTACATTTATTCCACCAGAACTTATGCGGCAACTTTTTGATCCCAATAAACAGGAATATGTCTGCCCGTTCTGTCTATGGACTACGCCTGATGAGGAAAAAGTACAGGGACACATTGCTAGCCATACCGGAGAACCGGTGAAAGATCGAAACTCGAAACGGTAAGTACTCGCGCTAATAGCTATCGTTCAATCGTTGCAATAGGCTAATTGAGTCAGCGATTTTGTGAGGCTGCAGGCGGATCAGGTTTGCCTGCTGAACCTGGACATAGGTGAAGTGGTCTAGCTTCGAAACTGGATGCGAACACACGATTCGAGGAGCGGAGCCTTTTGATGCGGTAGTTGACGGCAGTACCAAATGTAAAATTTGAAGTACTATTGCAACATTAATCATTTTTCAGTACTCTATATGGATTCTTCTGTGCTTAATAGTCAAACTGGATACAGATTCCCTTTCTCAGGCTGTACTACAACTTTCCCTCTGCGAGTGTTTTTCAGATGGTCGAAATGACAGTAGTGGTAGCAAATCCTAGTATAAATAACACTGTGTGTGTTTTGCAATTTTCGCTTTGGGCGATTTTATACTACCATATATTAAAGAAAGATTAAATGAACAAATGGAATATCATTATTAGGTAGCGCTTGTAATGAAATACACAGGGATTCTAGCAGGTCTGACTTTTATTCTTTCCCTTCCCCCGTTCGTATTGATTATTATAGTTTTGATATGATCAGTCACTTGAACATTCTGTTGAACAATAAAATAGCAGCGTATGCGTTGAACAGCTAGTGGCCTTTTATGGCAGGCCTTTAAGCCATGGCTACAAGTTGTTACAAGTAGTAGTAATAGTAGTAGTAGTAATAGTAGTAGTAATAGTAGTAGTAGTAGTAGTAACAGTAGTAGTAGTAGTAGTAGTAGTAGGTAGTAGTAGTAGTAGTAGTAGTAGTAGTAGTAGTAGTAGTAGTAGTAGTAGTAGTAGTAGTAGTAGTAGTAAGTAGTAGTAGTAGTAGTAGTAGTAGTAGTAGTAGTAGTAGTAGTAGTAGTAGTAGCAGTAGTAGTAGTAGTAGTAGTAGTAGTAGTAG